AAAAGATCTTCATTACTAGCATCGTATTTTGAGCTCTCATTCTTGGTTGAAAACGCCAACAGGTTGTTTTGTCCCACGACCTGAGTTTGACACGCCTGTTCCAGAGTGTTTGGCATCTCGCTGCCGTCATCACTGTGTGAAGAGAATGGGATAATATCGGCGTGACCTTGGTCTGTGAAATGGACTAAAAATGAATAAAGATGACTCTTTCATACCCATTGGACCCATTCATTCTCAAATATAAAAACATGTGGGATCTGAAGAATCTTACACCATGAATAAGAAAAACTCAATGGCGCTGGGGTCTCAGCCTGATGTCTGTCTTTTATGTATTTCTTTTTGTCTATGATTTTTATGAAACTTGTGAAACGAAATAAAGGTTTCGAACACAAAGGTGAGAACAAAAAGTACTGAGTTTCAACTTCAGAAGCTTTTAAGTTTTCAATCCACATTTTTGCAAATGTCATAGAAAAATATATTGCTCTGGATTAAAAGCAATATTTTTTAAATAGTTATTAACAGTAATAATCATAATACTATCAATCCATTTTAATGTATTTGTGCATCTCCATAAATCAAACAGCAGTAATCTCTGAGGACTTTACAAAGTTGTGGATTCACCAACAACAGATCAAAGAATATTCAGAGAATATTCAAAGAATATTCAGTGATGGTACATGGCTCTGAAGTATGTTTTGTTTATGTCCCTTATTGTGTTGTGCGTTGATTATTGTCTACTGTGTTGTATGTCTATTATTATCATTGATATTATTGGTTATTTTTATAGTATGGTATTAAAATTATATTCTAGTAGATACAAAATTATTTAGCTGATTGATATTGAATCATAATTTCACTATATAATAATATAATATAAAAGTGAGCGATTATTTGACTAGAGCACAATATACATGCATATACATACATATAAACAGATAGATAGATAGATACTTTATTGTTCCATCATAGGAGAAATTTAAGATAAATGACATAATATGTAGTAGGAAATGTGTATATAAAACTACCGCTGGTTTTGCTTTTGTTATATTTACCTGTAAATGGCGACAACCATATATTTGAGGACTTAATGGGGGTGGGAGTAAATAAGCTTGTCTTCATCCCACTCCCTTCCAAGCTGTTTATTTATTTTTATTTTTTTTCCTTTTCTATTGATGTGTTAATATTGTATAGCATCGTAATGTATTTCTTTTTATCTTGTGTTGTATTGTACCGGCTTGGAATAAACTAAACTAAACTAAAGAATCAAACAGTTTGATGACAGGAAATGCAATAGTTTCAGACACATAGGAGCCATAGGTGGATAGGGAGCGGGATGACCACTGTCCAGAAAAGTGAATAAATATCCCAGATCATCATTACTCTCCTTAGACAAGGGGTGTTCAAACATTTTAGCCAGAGGGCCACTTTAGTTCATCAGACTTGACCTGGGGCCGTCAACCTGGGTTTAAAAAACTGGATTCTAGCCGGATTGACTGAATTCTGGAATATAATATTTGTTATGATACGTCCTCATTGATTCACACCACCATACATTTATTTGGAATGTTGTGACAATAAAGTCAACAACTGGATTCCAAAGGTTCTGATATTTACAACAAGGTATAGCATGACTATTGGTGGAGCTGAAGTTGGTTGGATGACACTGTCAAAGTGGCGACTTTGTGTTAGTAGCAGAAGGGCCTGTTCATGTGGCCGCAAATAGCCCCAGGCCTGAGTTTGGACATGCCTGCCTTACAGGGAATTTACACAGTAGGCATAAACAGCGCGTACGCGTTTACTGTGCGCTCTCTGCGCGTAACAATTTTTTGGAGTATTTACACAGGCCGTGCGCGCAGGTCCGCGTCCTCTGATGCTCTCCCTGTGTAGTCTATGGAGCAGTGTAGAGGACAGTACGGGCCAGAGGACTGATGTAGAGCAACACAAATCACATGCATGTGTTTTGTCCTCATTTTCTCTGTGCGCTGGTTTGGCCAGACACGAGACTTTATGAAAGAAAAAAAACGATGTCCAGAATGACTGTAAAACCTGTCAGTCCTCCTGCTGATGTTTAGACACAAGTGCTGTGCGTGTAGATGCAATCTAGAGCCAAGGGCCGCTAGAAAAATGGGAGACGCATTGGTGCACAAAATTAGAAATCCATCCTAAATTAGAGCGCAGCTTCGCGTCATACGTCCGTCATACACGCGTATAACGCTAGAAGTGTAAATATCATCATAGATTAACATGGAAAAAAGTTACGCGCGTCTGCTGCGCGTATAACGCGTACGTGCTGTAACGCGTGATGTGTAAATTAGCAGTTAGACCCTCTTTCATCGACAAAGAACTACTGTAGATCCAAAACAGAGACTGTAGATCCAGGACTAAGACTGTAGATCCAGGACTAAGACTGTAGATCCAGGACTAAGACTGTAGATCCAGCACTAAGACTGTAGATCCAGGACTAAGACTGTAGACTCCTGTCTTTGATTAGGGGACATTGTGGTTAATATTGTTAGTCTTCTGTAAAGCCCCGTAACAGGGACTAAACTGTCTGAAAATTGTCACAAAATATCATTTTCGGGTTTGGCGATTTCTGTGATGCTGCAGTGTGTCCAGAGCTGGGTTTATTGACCACAGCTGCTGCTCTGGGGTCAGACACACACACATTCATGCGTGCAGACAGCAGGCACTGTATTTTATAAAACAACATTTTGTCTCGGTTTTATCAGGCCTTCATCGAAAGCATTTTGTGCTTCTCTTTTATCTGCTGCTTCCTAATCTTTCGCACAAAGACAAAAATAGTCTTGATAGAATTGTGCACATCTGTTCGAAACTCATAGGAGTTGGACAGAGGGAACTGTCAGCTCTCTGTAACCAGCAGATCGTGAGAAAGGCTCGCATCACAATGTCCACTGATCATGTTCTGAATGATGAGTTCACTTTGCTCCCATCAGGACGACGTTATGTTGCACCACATTGTAGAACCAATCGCCATTTAAAATCTTTTGTGCCAACTGCTATTAGACTTTTGAATTCTCTGTATTGTTGTTGTTGTATCATGTTCATATGTTTGTATGGGACTCCACTTCATGTCAAATCACTTATTTCCTGTGTTTTTTTAATGTTATGTGCTGCTCAAATAAATTGCCCCTGGTGGGATTAATAAAGTAGTCTGAATCTGAATCTGAAAATGCTGTCCTCATTTTGTTTAAAGGTGCAATATTTCTCTTTTCTTCATTTTTCCCAGTCCATCCTATGCACATGTAAGTCATCTTTATTTATTTAGTAAGTAATCTTTATTTATTTATTTATACCGCCTTTCACAGACCAGTCACAAAGCGGTTTACAATTGTTATTTTTGGGCACTTGTCCTCTCACTCCACACAGAGATGGGAGCGGGGTCGCCGAACAGGAGGCGCATGCCAGACCTATTTTACATGTTTTCAGTGGTAGGGGAAATTATTATCACACATGTAGGTGATACACCATACAACACTCAAAAATTATAGCCATTTTGTGCATAGAGGTGATGTCACCTCATGTTAAACGCTTGGATCTGTGCTCCTCTGCCTGTGAGCCCACCTCCCCCCGTTCGTGCCATGACTAGCCTCTAACTTCCAGGTAAACAAAAGCTAACTGTACAGCTTTCGCTGTTACATAGTAATTTCACACTTTCAACAATGGCAACCCATCACATAGAGCCCTATGTCCTCAGACCCTGATTATTTAGATCACAGTGACATAAAGAGAGATAGTTGCACTGTACTCACAGACAGAGGTTCCTGTTAGTTTTTTTGTTTTGTTGGGAATAACACCAGGTTTCCAGATCTGCTTTTAAGTAAGTCCTGTTTCAAGGTAATCGTAGTTCTGGATCAGTCTTTGGTGAAATGTTATTGTCACTCACAAAGAAACATCTGTGAGTGTCGTCGCAGATTTCAGACTCGCAGATACGAGGTAGGGGGCGACAGTAGCTCAGTTGGTAGAGTGTTGGCCTTTGAGCCTGAGGGTCGTGGGTTTGAGCCCACCATAAGACCTACTTTGACGTCATGGATTGTGCCACGACACGATTTGAATCAGCTCATTTCTGTGCCTCTCGGGAATTAAAGAGAAAGATTGCTCCCTAACTAAAGCTTGAGGAAATAAATGAAGAAACTACTCTAGGCATATGTATGAATGCCAAATAGCACAGTAATCATGTTAAAACCAGACTTTTTGTCTGAAAAATTGGATCTAAAGAAGTAACAGAGCACATGTACAAACTAGAAGCAACTGTTTAGAGCCAGAAAGCCATAACATGTTTTGTTATGTATCAAAATGTATCAATGTCATTGGTTAAACTGTGTGATCAGTCTGCATTAGTTTGGTGCTATGACCAAAACAGATGGGTTAAAAAGTCAAAATATATAATTTATTTCTACCACTAAATGTAACAATAAGTCTGGCAGCGCCCCCTGGAGGGGACCTGCTACATCTCTGTGGTGAGAGACAATTCCCACAACTGTTGTAAAGCGCTTTGTGACTCTAAATAAAGATCACTTACTTGCTTAACATATACTCCTCACCCCAACAAGTGATATATAGGTCTATTCTAGCGCCACCTTTAGGTAAAAGAGTGAAGGCTTTAGAAGCTAAACTACCCTGTTTAGCTTGGTTAGTACTGGTACTAGTACAGGACCTGGTTAGTACTGTGATTGGAGACCTCTGGGACCACCAGGTGCCACGGCAGGGCGACTGTAAAACGTCAAACTGTTGTTTTGTCTTTGGACAAGACACTTCCCCCACATAGTCTGGTGTGTGACTAAAGGATTTTGATCAGCCAATGAGAGTGGTCATTCAGACCAATATCAGAATCACTTGGCACTAATGACTAATGAGGATTGTTTTTTTTAACTAAAACAATCGGCCAGATATTCTTAAAACAACCAATGAACTGCTACTTCTTCTGGTTTTAAGCTCCAAAATGAACACAAAAAGCTCTCCCCACTGCCACTGGTCTGTCTTCATTCTCCAACAATTGCCATTGTCCTCATGTTGTGTTCACTGATGAGGTCCTGCTGCGGAGTGTGAGGACTTCTCTGTCTCTTTCCCTGCAGCTGCGTGTGTGGACTCATCAGAAGTGATAGAGGGGGAGGAGGGAGAGGGGAGGGAGAGGGGAGGGAGAGGGGAGGGGGGGTGGACTTGCTGATGAGACGCACTGACAGGAAGCAGCTCCTCAGAAAGTCCGCCCTGTCCCCGTCGCCGCTGCCAGGCTCCATTTGCCACAGAATCCAGTGCTCAGAGCTGATGTGGAGACTGCTGACACCACCATGTTAGATTCTTGTTATTTCTCCCACATTTGGGCATATGTGGGGCACTGTTTCCAGAGCATATTCTCTAAAAAACTTCCTTTAACACAGTTTATTCCCCACCAGAATGCAATGTGTTCACCAGGGTTTTTGTGTATTTAGCAACATAACTTAAACAGTAAAAAAAAGGATTTTTGTTTGTTTAATAAACATAGTCAAAGCTCACGTTTTGCATGGATTCTATATGTGTCTTTTAAATACTCGTTTTGTTTGTGTTTGTAAAACTTTTCACCAACATAGCTCCATAGACTGTACATAGCTCTGTAGACTGTAAACGCCGTGTAAAAAGTGCTTTACAATAAAATCACCTAAAAACAGTTAAAAACATTCATACAACCAAACAATAAAACAGTCAGATAAAACCATGATAAACTTAAGTATTGCCGTGCTACTGAGAATTAAAAGCCAGTCTGAATAAATATGTCTTAAGTCTGGATTTAATAAAGCCAAAGTCCGTCATGGTGCGCGGATCTGGGGACAGCTTGTTCCAGAGGTTTGGTCCAGTAACTGAAAAGGATCGATCACCCCAATGTTTGAACCGAGTCCTAGGCACTTCCAGTATGAGCTGATTTGATGACCTCAATGATCTGCCGAGTCACGAATTGTTAGAAGTTAGGACAGGTATGAAGGGGCGAGACCATTGAGGGCTTTAACTTTTACATGCGTAAAAGTGTATGTATGTTATTTGTTCACTTTGGTTTTTTGTTCTTTGATAATATGTTAGTCATTATCATTTTGATATTCAGTGACTTGTACTGAGCTCAGCTCTCAATATATAAATTCAGACGATTTTTGATTGACTGTTGCTCGAAATATTCAAGAACACTTAGTGGATGTGAGTGTGTCTGCCATGCTGTTTTATAGAGTGGAAGACACAGGACATGTATGGGGAGGCACTAACACGGAGTTTACATTATTTGGCTGTATGTACACTGGTACAGCCAGGTCCGCCGCTTCAGATGCTCTCTCTGTGTGATCTATGGAGAAGTGTAGAGGACATCACGGGCAGAGGACTTATGTAGAGCAACACAAATCACATGCATGTGTTTGTCTCCATGTCTCCGTGCGTTGGTTTGGCCAGACATGAGACAATATGAAAAAAAAAAAAAAATAGTCCAAAATCACTGTAAAACCTGTCAGTCCTGCTAATGTTTAGATAAAAGTGCTGTGTGTGTGTAGATGCGATCTAGAGCCAAGGGCCGCATGTGTTTGTCTGAGAGACGCGTTGCTGCGTGCACAAAAATAGAAGTCCTTCCTATAATAGGCACAGCCTATTATTTTCAAGATAGAGAGTTTTACCTTTATTGATGATAGAGTTAGAGATTTTGTTTTATTTGTATTAGAATAGCTATTGTTCACTTAACTTGTGCGCTGTGCTCCTCTTTTCTACTGTTCTATAACTTGTGATGCAACACTGAAATTTCCCCACTGTGGGATGAATAAAGGATCTTTTAATCTTAATACGTCCATCATACACGCATATAACTCTAGTAGTGGTTAACATGGAAAAATGTTATGGACGTCTGCTGCGCGTACGTGCTGTAACGCCTCCTGTGTAAATTAGCAGTAAAGTGACAAAAAATAGTGTTAAAGTCACTGTTCTGCATGGTGTTTTTTCATAAACACCTCGTTTTCTCAGCTTTTTATCTGAAACTGAATATCTCAGTCAAAGTTTCCTCCACTCAGGATTACAGGGGAACGAAACAAGTGAGAAACACATGTCTTTTTTTCTGATGACATTAAACAGTCTTCTTTCAGATTTAACAAGTCATGGTACACAGTCTTCTGTGGGTCTTTAAAAATCAGTGAAAATTGTCAAAAAGCAACAATATGGGAGTAGCTGCTCTGAAATTGGCCGGAGACTCACAACGTTCTCAGTGTTTACTCCTCTGTCCTGCTCTGTCCATCTGGGCTTTATTAGGCTGAACCGACAGCAAGAGGGAGGACAGTGCAGAGAGAGAAAGAGAATGTGTTTGTGTGAGTGTGAGTGTGAGTGTGAGTGTGAGAGTGAGTGAGTGAGAGAGAGAGAAAGGGCGTGGGTGGATGATGGGGAGAGTAAGATGAATCAGGCCTTAAAGAATGACTTGATCTGAGTCTTGTCCCATTGAGCAACAGTCCAGGAATTTACAACCAGGAGACATTCTTCCACGTGCTGCAGGACTGAGGCAGCTCCCAGACCAGAACAAGACAGTCTAAAACAACTGTGCATCTCATTAGCAACTTTAAAACTTTTCAGGACCTGGTTAAACTCAAGCTGATAAGTCTTGATTTAGAAGTTACAATCATCTGCTGAACATTTTAAAAACAATATAAACGATTGCAAGTTGTATAGAGGATTAAAGAGATTTAAGAGATCCTTTATTCGTCCCACAGTGGGGAAATTTCAGTGTTGTATCACAGGTTATTGAACATTAGGAATGAGGAGTACACAGCACAAGATAAGTGAACAATAGCTATACCAATTAAATTAAAAAGAAATCTCTAACTCAAGCATCAATGAAACAAGTATAAAATTGCCATCTTGACCATAAAAATAATAAAGAGTATAAAGTTTTACATTTGGCAAAATAAGAGGCAATTAAAAATTACTGTGTATTCTAGTGAAAGCAATAGGTAGTTATATGTTTGCATCTGTACATATTAGCTGCAGTATGTTTACATCTGTATGTGTTAGCAGCAGTATGTTTACATCTGTACGTGTTAGCAGCAGTATGTTTACATCTGTACGTGTTAGCTGCAGTATGTTTACATATACTCCTGCATGTAACCACATAAGCCAGATCCTTCTGAGACAAGGCCAGCCAATGCATTTAAGAGCACATGGAATAGCCATGCTGATATTAGATATGTATTTGGATGCATATAGGTCACTCCCTCATGTTGATCATTGTGATGCAACTTTCCCTCTGCACCATCGAGCTTATACTAGAAGGGGATGTCACATAGTGTTGGCCTTAATGCCTAAGAGGCAGATTAGATCTAACTTGAACAGGTCTTTAAAGCCGGAATGTGGAGCCAAATGTGTGCTAGTTTTGTTTGTTCGTAGTAAAAGCAATGACTAGTTGCTGTTGAGTTCGAATTTGGCGACAGAAGGCTCCTGATTGGTCACTTGTTTGGGCTCACACCCTGATTGACAAATACATCATATTACAGTATAAACTAAAGTACAACAGAGCTAATGAGTTGGTGTAAGACATCTATGAGCACTTCCTCATTGAGCTTTATTGAGCTAGCAGCTTAGAATTGTCCGTCTCTACACAGAATGGTTCAAAGGCCACAGGTGGAGCAGAGAGCAGCAGAAACAGCATGGAGACGGCAAAACACTTTCTTTCAGATGGAAACACAGCACTCGCACATGTTTATTCCTGGCTGATTATTATCTGAGTCGTAGAGCTGGGGTGGTTGTCACGGCAGCGGTTCAAAAGTTACACCCAGACTAATTAATGACTGTTTGAAGGTTTAAAAAAAGACCAGTCACAAATGCAAATGAAGTCCTAGCAATTATATTAAGGCGACAAAGATTCTGTTAGCTTTGTAGCTAGATTTAACAGTGGTATTGAGAGTTGTGTGTTTAAAGTGCTGACATCGATGTCTATTATTAAATAAACAAAGGAGTTTGGCACAAATGGCTGTTTTTTAATTGATAGCCCAGAGTTCTATTTTATTCTCAATCAGAGAGCAGCAGAGAAGCTGAGGACACCAATCACAAAAGGAGCAAGACCCTATTATAATATAAATACAGTATAAGACAGGTCTTTGCTGTTCAGTCCTAAAACCAGCATTATACCAGGACTAAACCAGGATTATATCAGGATTTAACCAGGACTATACCAGGACTAAAGCAGGATTGAATCAGTGCTATACCAGGACTAGACCAGGACTGAATCACGTCCAAATCAGAACTAAACCAGGACGATGTGCTGCCATCGTCCAAAAACAAAATTCCGGTTTCTCCTGACGCCGCTTTGTGAGCAGATGGTTTAGCTCCTCGTAATCTGACGTCTCTTGTACCCAGACACCGCAGAATTGCCCTTGTGTCAAAAAACTTGATGTAAGAAAACTGCTCGGACTCGCTGCATTTATTTAGGCCACCACTACTCAATGCATGTGACATCACAAGCCAGTGCACTGCTTTTTTACTAAACTAATTTAATAAACAAACAATAGAAATCCTCAACGAAAAGAGCAAGAACATAATTATAAGTTGTGTATACCGATCACCTGCCACAAACTGAATGGATTGTCGTACAAACAAAAAATAAATATTCATTTGTGGTGACTTTAACATCAACTTACTCAATCCAGCAAAACATAAGGCCGTAGCAGTTATTTCTGACACCATGTACAGTATGTCTTTATATCTAACCATAACCAGACCGAGTAAACTAACAGTACACAGTGCCACACTGATTGACAACATATTTTCCAACACTATAGAGAAACCGATCACCAGTGGCTTATTAATGTGACACTTCTGATCATCTGCCAGTCTTTACCATTTGTGACTGTGACTTACAATGCAACACAAAAACTGATCCAAAGGCAACTTACACACGAGAAAGAAGTACATTTGAATGTCTTTAACAATAACTGAAATGAACAGGATTGGAGCTTAGTTTTAACTGAGCCAAATGTAAACGTCGCTTATGATATATTTTGAAAAATATTTCTTTCCCTGTATGATAAACACTGTCCCATGAAATTGTAGCGTAAAAATAATAACGCAAAAAAAGTCCCTGGCTCCAAAACTCTTGCAAAAAGAAACAACATCTTTACAAAGTTTTCATTAAGTTAAATATCCCTCAATCCAATGAAAAATAAACTAAAGAAACCGAACGCTAGTACAAGACATATAAAAATAAACTAACAAATATTATGCGCCTTAGTAAGCAATTATATAATAGAAGAAT